AGACGCGGCATTTTAAAACAAAAAAAACCTGAGGGTGCCATAAACGTTAGTAATCGGGTTGATGGAAACCGTTTAGGTCTTAAATTTTTCAACTTCACCGAAAACCAAATTGAAATATTTCCCCAAACTTGCTCCGTTCCTGTGTCAGTGAAAACCAAATGAAATATCCCTCACTGTCCTACCTGAAAAACCGGAGAACAAATAGTCCCGGAACAATCCAGAAGTATACCCAATCAGTAAATACATATGGCAGTTGCCAGAGACTCCAAAGCCAACAGTCGCCACCAAAAATGCAGTTTATCTTTGATGGAACACAGCCGGCTGTAAATTTATATCTAAAGATGGCCGTGGATGGAAGTAGTCGGGTACGATAAGTTAGCTGGCTTTATACACGTAGAAGATTTACAAAAGGTATTTCACCAACTCACATGTAAAACAGCAACCGGCCATATTGAATACAAGGACTCAACAAATGAAAGACATTCCACATGAAAAAACAAAGCTCACAGAGTTGCACTAAGCATTACACTCAGAAGCTCAGGATGCAAAACAATAGACTACCGTCCATGTGTGGAAACTGCTTTAGCAAAGCGCTGTCGGAAGCGGAAATAACCTCGAAAATAAACAATCTGTCATGCCTAGTCCTCCAATTTAGGAAGGAAGTCATTTGTTTGTCTGGTTGCACACCCTTCCCTTCACCCCTTTCCTACCGCGCGTCAGCCGCCTTCTACGGGCTGATGACTGTTTACTTGGTTACCTCTGCAACTACAAGAGTTGCTATTCAACAGGACAATACCCAAATAGACCTTCAACCTGTAACAATGTTATATGCCAGTGGTGTAATACCCTGCAGTCCTGTGTGGGTAAGGGATCTCAGCATATAGTGCTCAGCCTACATTTTCCAGAAATCCTATGGGTACTCAAATGGTGGTGTGACCGATATTAGGCCGGTCGCCATTGCTTGCCATGACGTTTCTTATTTCCTTTTTTCAGGCTGGGTTAGCATTGAAGTAGGTTCTTTTTTAATATCGATTTAATATTTAATATCCTACCCCAGATAACGTCATAGGACAGTCCAACATTTTAGAGGGTGGTAAGACTGGGTTTCCCAGCTTTCTTATTCTTTTAACGACCACAAAACATCTAGAACTGGCCCTAACCCCAACCCACCTACGACCCACGAAAGAGTGCAGCCTAGGTGCCAAGACTGCATGCAGCCTAGGTCCCAGGACTGCGTGCAGCCTATATACCACCCCCTGAAATATTAGAATGTCCTATGACCTGTGGACTTCCGCTTTTTGCGGTGGGATAGTAATAAAACACCCGGGAGCATATTGTACATATCCTGAGAAGAAACCAGCAGAGAATCACCAAAAACAGGCACCGAAGTAGGAAATAAAAGGATTGCGGAAGCGAGGAGGTTCAAAAGAAACCCTAAGATGGACGTGGACGAGACAGGTCAAAAGTACAGAGCTGGGTTCCATAAAGATAACGAAGGAATTGTACAGGATAGACCATAATAAAAGAATAGAGTGCGAGCCCTGTGTGTCATATCAGATTTATAATGGCACAGCAGGATAATGATGATGAAGATGATGATGAGGATGATTATAACGACGATGATGTTGATGATGATGATGACGACGACGATGATGATGACGACGACGATGTTGATGATGATGATGACGACGACGACGATGATGAAGATGATGATAATGATGATGACGACAATAATGATGATGATGACGATAATGATGATGACGACGATGATGATGATAATGACTACGATGATGATGATAATGTTGATAACGACGATGATAAGGAGGATGATGATGATGATGATGATGATGATGATGACGACGATGATGATGATGGCGGCGATGACGATGATGATGATGATAATGATGACTACAACGATGATGATGATAATGGTGTTGATGATGATGATGACAACGATGATGATGATGATGACGACGATGATGATGATAATAATGATGATGATGATGGTGACGACGATGAGGATGATGATGGCCTTGGAGAATTTAGTAAATTATAAAAATGCGCCTCTCATCAGATTCGCACCGAAGACCATCGTTCTCTACTGTACTAGGACAGTAGGACAGACTAGGGTAGGTGTACTGTGTACCCATGACGACTGCCCTTTTTGTAACTGCTTATGAGGTTGAACCAGGTATGTGGGATGTGTTACACTGGATTGACATACAGGATGCGGCTCTTCGGGTTGCAGGACGGCCAGACCTTCAGATAGCGTCCGGATTGTCTGAGTATCTTCATACCATTTACACTGATTCAAATGTAAATGCGTGCCTGTATTCTCTCTCTCTCCTGTTTTTTCTCATCTCTCTCTCTCTCTTCCCCCCCCCCCCCCCCCCCCCGTCTTTCCATACGTGTGTCATTAGGTTGTGTCTGTGTGTATGTGTTGAGTCTGTGGGAATGTGTATTTCTGTGTAGGTTGTGTCGGTGTGCGTTGCGTTTTTTGTGTATGTTGTGTCCGTGTGTACATTTTGCCTATGAGTGTGTGTGTGCATTTTTTGTATAAATATTATTTGTTTCTGTGTGTATGTTTTGTGTGTATGTTCTGTGTGTTTGTTTTGTGTGTATGTTCTGTGTGTATGTTCTGTGTGTTTGTTTTGTGTGTATGTTCTGTGTGTATGTTCTGTGTGTTTGTTTTGTGTGTATGTTCTGTGTGTTTGTTTTGTGTGTATGTTCTGTGTGTTTGTTCTGTGTGTATGTTCTGTGTGTTTGTTTTGTGTGTATGTTCTGTGTGTTTGTTCTGTGTGCATGTTCTGTGTGTTTGTTTTGTGTGTATGTTTTGTGTGTTTGTTTTGAGTGTATGTTTTGTGTGTTTGTTCTGTGTGTTTGTTTTGTGTGTATGTTCTGTGTGTATGTTCTGTGTGTTTGTTTTGTGTGTATGTTTTGTGTGTTTGTTCTGTGTGTTTGTTTTGTGTGTATGTTCTGTGTGTTTGTTCTGTGTGTATGTTTTGTGTGTATGTTCTGTGTGTTTGTTCTGTGTGTATGTTTTGTGTGTATGTTTTGTGTGTATGTTCTGTGTGCATGTTTTGTGTGTATGTTTTGTGTGTATGTTTTGTGTGTATGTTCTGTGTGTATGTTTTGTGTGTATGTTTTGTGTGTATGTTTTGTGTGTATGTTCTGTGTGCATGTTTTGTGTGTATGTTCTGTGTGCATGTTTTGTGTGTTTGTTTTGTGTGTATGTTTTGTGTGTTTGTTTTGTGTGCATGTTTTGTGTGTTTGTTTTGTGTGCATGTTTTGTGTGTTTGTTTTGTGTGTATGTTTTGTGTGTTTGTTTTGTGTGTATGTTTTGTGTGTTTGTTTTGTGTGCATGTTTTGTGTGTTTGTTTTGTGTGCATGTTTTGTGTGTTTGTTTTGTGTGCATGTTTTGTGTGTTTGTTTTGTGTGTTTGTTTTGTGTGCATGTTTTGTGTGCATGTTTTGTGTGTATGTTTTGTGTGTTTGTTTTGTGTGCATGTTTTGTGTGTTTGTTTTGTGTGTATGTTTTGTGTGTTTGTTTTGTGTGCATGTTTTGTGTGTTTGTTTTGTGTGCATGTTTTTGTGTGTTGTTTTGTGTGCATGTTTTTGTGTGTTTTGTTTTGTGTTTTTTTTCACATTTGTTCAGGTTTTGTGTGTTTTTGTTTTGTGCATTTTTGTGTGCATGTTTTTGTTTTTTTGCATGTTTTTATGTTATTGTTTGTTTTTGAGTGTATGTTATGTGTGTTTGTTCTGTGTGTTTGTTTGTGTGTATGGTTTGTGTGTATGTTCGTGTTGTAGTTTGTGTGTATGTTTTGTTGTGTGTATGTTCGGTGTGTAGTTCTGTTTGTATGTTCTGTGTGTATGTTCTGTGTGTATGTTCTGTGTGTATGTTCTGTGTGTATGCTTTGTGTGTATGCTTTGTGTGTATGTTGTGTGTGTATGTTTTGTGTATATGTTTTGTGTGTATGTTTTGTGTGTATGTTTTGTGTGTTTGTTTTGTGTGCATGTTTTGTGTGTATGTTCTGTGTCTTTGTGTCTGTGTTGTAATGCCATAAGCACTGCCTCGGTATGCCTAATGGATAACGACATACTGAGTAAACGATTGTCAAACTGACTTTTCAAACGTTTTCGCCAACAGGACATCACACTGAGCGATAAACACCCAGTGACACAAAGTGCCACCATTCGGATCACCCGAGGACTGCTCCATGAAACCACGTTTTTAACACACAGGTTTGGTTATATTAGGGCCCCAAGCTACAGCCAGGATAAGGCCTTTAAAATAACGAAAAAGTGCATCCCACGTGGGGACGGACAGAACCAAGAAACCACGTTCAACCTATAGGTTGGGTTATATTAGTTTTAAAAAAAGTAAAGGTCCCCTTTAAACGCCTTTAGGCGTATAGGGTAGACCTATATTTTTATAGTCAAATCAGCACAAGATGGGTGATGTGGTCAGCATAACTCCGGCCGCCTTTTCTTCCTGGGACTGCACCCGGAACCCACTCAAGGCTGGGTCAACCCGGATGTCAAGGTCATTTTTGACAAAAATACAGCTCCGTTAGGAAGCGAACCCACGACCTTCCGATCCGCACGCGAGCGTCTAGCCGCTACGCTACGGCGACTTCCTTGGTTTATATTAGGACCCTGGCAACAGTCAGGGTAGGCTAACTGACTGACCGACTTTCTACCACACCAGGACATCACACAAGCGATAAACACCCGATGACACAAAGTGCTACCATGCGGATGAGGATCACAATGGAGAGGTCCCAGAGACCGCGTTCAGCCTTTAGGCCATATTTATGGCCAGGCTTTATTGCGGCCCCGGCAAGAGCCAGAGTAGGGCTTCAAGTAACGAAAAATTTTACCCTAAAAAGGACGGCAAGTAACAGATCAAAATAACGAAAAATTGCATCCCACAGAGTGACGGACAGTCGGTTACTAAACATAGTACAGAAACACAAATTAACACCTATTCAAAATACTCACCAGGTATGCAATGTTTATGCTTATCGAAGAATTTCACCCTGACGGCTTTGATGTGCGTCACTAGATCGGACTCACCAGGCCCCTCGATGGCAGCGAACACAGCCGCGCCGATCACCAAAAACAGCAGGTAAAACACGCCAAGGACCAGTAATCGAAAATTACTTCGTCTTATCAGTGGCTTCTTCGGAGTTGCGGTTGTTTCCCCTTGACCGACAATTGGTTCTGTATCCGACATTATTTCCTTTTGATTGAAAAATCCGAAATAAAATTTTGATTTGTTTTCTGATTCCTAAGATTTAAAATTCTGTGATTAAATGTGACATATAAGTATGCACTGGATTGACATACTTAATTAGTATATTTCTAATAAAATGTGTAAAAATTTGAGCTTGCGAATAGTATACACAAGACTGTTCATAGATCCATTTCATGAAACTGCCAGAATGTTTTCGCCACAGCTATTGTCTTTGTTGCTCTCCGTACTTGTTAAAGACAGACCTGACAAAGTAAAAAAAAAAAAACACAGCAATAATAATTTGGAAAACAAACATACACTGACATGAACTCTCTCTCTCCCTCTCCCATTTTCTCTCTCTCTCTCTCTCTCTCTCTCTCTCTCTCTCTCTCTCTCTCTCTCTCTCTCTCTCTCTCTCTCTCTCTCTATTCCCTCCTCTCTCTCTACACATACACACACACATATATATATATTATATATATATATATATATATATATATATATATATATATATATATATATATATATATATATATATATATATAAGAGTGTGTGTGTGTGTGTTTTATTTTGAGAAATGTAGAGTGGCTCTAGATTTAGATTTTAGTCGCCAAAATATTTAGCAAACCTTCAAGGACCAACGTCTGTTCTTACTGTAAGGATATAAGCTAGTCGATGGAGTTGGCGCTTCGGAGACGAGGGAGCTTTGCTGGAGCTCCGGCGGTCGCATTTGTACGACGCACTCGGCAAATGACCTGCCGCTCTACAGAGAGAGGCATATGAGTACGTGATAAAATCCCGGCAATTAACTCTTTTAAATCCTTCAGTTCCACAGTAAACATTTCATCATCTTTCTGTCTTGAAAGATAGCCTAAAATACGGTTAAACGTGGCCTTCTCACTTGTGATGGAGGAACAACACACACACACACTCACGCTAAATCACCAAACCATTCGATCTTCGGTTTCTCAATGAATATGCTGCACGGTGTTATTCCTACAGTCTGTCCGATATTATCATTTTAACTTTGTGACATCAGATTAAACAAACAAACTGGTATCCTCGTTTGTTATTGTTTGGTTTTTGGTTAGCTGACTGGTGGGCCGTGAGACGATTTCCCCTTTTTTGGTGGGCCGTGAGACAATTTCCCCTTTTTTGGTGGGCCGTGAGACAATTTCCCCTATTTTGGGATGCCGTGAGACAATTTTCCCTGTTTTGGTGGGCCGTGAGAAAATTTCCCCTGTTTCGGTGGGCCGTGAGACAATTTCCCCTGTTTTGGTGGGCCGTGAGACAATTTCCCCTGTTTTGGTGGGCCGTGAGACAATTTCCCCTGTTTTGGTGGGCCGTGAGACAATTTCCCCTGTTTTGGTGGGCCGTGAGACAATTTCCCCTGTTTCGGTGGGTCGTGAGACAATTTCCCCTGTTTTGGTGGGCCGTGAGACAATTTCCCCTGTTTTGGTGGGTGGCGGTTGTAAAAAATGTTGAGGAACCTTGGATTAAAGAACTTTTGAGAGACATCACAAACAGCAAATTAGTTCAGCACAGAACTCAATGGCCGAGTGAATCAAGTGCGCCAACAACAAGCACATAACGAGCAGGACGACGCGGGAAGCAAATTATGTGGGTGTCCCAGAATGCCGTCTTTTATTGACATCATGTTGGTATGGAAACAGGAACCACGTGGTATTATTGATTTCTACTTAGTGTCTGCTGGTTCGCGGAGAATAACGCGGGAAGGCTTTATTAGAAATGAGTTTGTGGCGTGAAAGAAGCGGTAGAATTATGATGGCGTTTTCGGGCGATGCACAATAAAGGAAAATCAGCGTTTTCTTATCTTCCGCTTTTCCTCCCTAAATGACTTTAAGACTGGAAATTTACAGATCATCATTATCATCATCGTCGCCATAAACCACTTCTGCCGTTAAGCAACCAGGGGAGGAATAATTTTCGACCCAGTACACGCTGGCTGCCACTGGCAATTGTCATGCCGTGAAAACGTAGAATGTCTTTAATGTTGTCGATCCATATTTTCGCAGCAGTCTTTTTGATCTTATAGCTGACCTTCTGACATCTACTGCCTGTGATGGCCAACCGAGATGGCCAAACCACCTGATCTACTGTTTCTAGATGAATCTAGGTGGAGAACAAAATCGACGAGAAGTACGTTTACAATTATTAATTATCTGTCTGTCTTTAAAGGTCGTCGGCTCTGTGGCTAAGTCGATGCAAACGCTTCGTAATGCCAGGTTGGATACCAGCTGCCGGCCATACGCCTTGCGTTGGTTTCGACAGTGGTATCAAGAAAGCCGACCTTTCAGAGGGCAATGGCAAACTACTGGACGTAAATTTGCCTAGAAAAACCATACAAAAGACAGGGGCTGTTGGGGTTGGTTTTGCAACGTCCTGTAAAGGATACGCAACTAACCTTTAAAGGTCAGCAGACAATCAGTGGTCCACATCTCCGTGAGGACATCCTGAGAAGGACAGAAGAGAGCGAAATGAAGGAATGTAACATGACATGGGATACGGTAGGCAGACTAGCAGCAGACCGACAGCTATGGAGATCCCCGGAGCCTTATGTGTCAACAGCGACACGATAGAGAATCGGTTGCATGCATATCCATTTTATATAATTGACTTATTTGTATGCAGGCGGTTGGCATTCCGACTTCGAAGGAAGCTCCCAATTAGGCAACTCTTACGACATGCTTGTTGGAGCGGATGCGGGTCTATTCTTGTTTTCCTCTTAATGAGGCCCCAGACCCTTACGGGGACAAGTACAGACAAATCGGTGGTCTCAACTTTTTTCAGGTAGCTAATCCCCTGTCGTCCGTCCCCTCCCCAACCACCCCTTTCTTCTTAAGTACATGGTAACATAACAGGATGCGGCGTCCGTGGCTAAGGCGTTGCGAGTCCGACTCGTAATTCCAACGTACCGCGATCGAAACCCACTGCTGGCTGTGTGGATTTTTATCATGGTATGGGGCGACGCATGGGTACCTGCATGGCTGTCCTGGGAAAGTAAAGACGGCCGGCGTAATGCTGACCACATTACCCACCCAGTGCCGATTGGTTAGTGAAAATATGCGACGCTCTTCCCATATGCCCAATGCGCCTATGGCGTAAAAAGAGATCTACACATGTTTTTACTTTTTAACATAACAGGATGCGATTGAAAAGATTAGACGAAAAGAAAAATGCCAAAGCACTGTTACTACGAACCTGGAGGAACACCATCCACCTAAAATAAAAAGTCAGATAACAAAAGAAACAATCACCAACAACTGGTAATCTAGTGTCCAAATAACTATGAAATAGTTACACTGTTTTATCTTGATGATATCTACTGATTTTAGTTTGATGTTGGACACAACCGAGATCACTTTTTTCTTCAAATCTGTTTCGTTTTCATAACTGTTAAAGCTGACAAACAGGATTATTACAAATACAAATGACAAGTACAAATGAATAAATACAAATAGACAAGTACAAATTGACAAGTACAAAACTGCATGATGCCCCCTTTAAAACGTCCCCACCCCACCGCCAAGATTGGAGACCACTGGGTTAAATCAGCGATTCACAACCTGTGGGTGGCGACCATTTTTAAAGGTCAAAGAACCCTTTCACTTGGGTCGCCAAAGACCATCGGAAAACACATTTTCATTAAAGTTATGAAGAAGCACCGAAAATAATGTCATGGCTGCGGGTTGACACAACATGAGGAACTGTATTAAAGGGTTGCCACAGCATGAGGAACTGTATTAAAGAGTCGCCACAACATAAGTAAATGTATTAAAGGTCGCCACAGCATGAGGAACTGTATTGACGGGTCACCATAAAATAAGGAACTGTATTAAAGGGTCGCCACAACACGAGGAACTGAATTAAATGGTCGCCACAACAAGAGGAACTGTATTAAAGGGTGGCCACAACACGAGGAACTGTATTAAAGGGTCGCCACATCACGAGGAACTGTATTAAATGGTCGCCACAACAAGAGGAACTGTATTAAAGGGTCGCCACAACACGAGGAACTGTATTAAAGGGTCGCCACAACATGAGGAACTGTATTAAAGGGTCGCCACAACAAGAGGAACTGTATTAAAGGGTCGCCACATCATGAGGAACTGTATTAAATGGTCGCCACAACTTAAGGAACTGTATTAAAGGGTCGTTACGACATGAGGAATTGTATTAAATGGTCACCACAACATGAAGGACTGTATTAAAGGGTCGCCACAACACGAGGAACTGTATTAAAGGGTCGCCACAACACGAGGAACTGTATTAAAGGATCGCCACAACACGAGGAACTGTATTAAAGGGTCGCCACAACACGAGGAACTGTATTAAAGGGTCGCCACAACACGAGGAACTGTATTAAAGGGTCGCCACAACACGAGGAACTGTATTAAAGGGTCGCCACAACATGAGGAACTGTATTAAAGGGTGGCCACAGCATGAGGAACTGTATTAAAGGGTCGCCACAACATAAGAAACTGTATTAAAGGGTCGCCACAACATGAGGAACTGTATTAAAGGGTCGCCACAACATGAGGAACTGTATTAAAGGGTCGCCAAAACATGAGGAACTGTTTTAAAGGGTCGCCACAAAATAAGGAACTTTATTAAAGGGTCGCCACAACATGAGGAACGGTATTAAAGGATCGCCACAAAATAAGGAACTGTATTAAAGGGTCGCCACAACATGAGGAACTGTATTAAAGGGTCGCCACAACATGAGGAACTGTTTTAAAGGGTCGCCACAAAATAAGGAACTGTATTAAAGGGTCGCTACAACATGAGGAACGGTATTAAAGGGTCGCCACAACATGAGGAACTGTATTAAAGGGTCGCCACAACATAAGGAACTGTATTAAAGGGTCGCCACAACATGAGGAACTGTATTAAAGGGTCGCCACAACATGAGGAACTGTATTAAAGGGTCGCTACAACATAATGAACTGTATTAAAGGGTCGCCACAACATGAGGATCT